GCTTGGTTTGAAGGGCTCAACCCAGAGGGTTTCCAGTTACTGTTTTTGTTTTCGTTGTTGTTGGGGGTGGAGGGGTGGGACCAACCGAGCCTGATCACCTGGCTCCCTGACTCAGAGTCTTTTCTTTTAAGTTGAACGGACCCCGCGTTCCGGTCGCTTGTTGAAAAGGCGCCGGGATCTCCCGTGCTGCGACTCACGGAGTCGGCTCGAACCGCGGCGCCGGCTCCTGGCGGATTTTTTGCCTAGGAATCTCCTGGCCTGGCTCGCTATTTCAGATGAATGGGCTATTCTGCCGTCTCAAGGCTCTGCTCGCCAGCTAAGAGGGCTCCCAGACCAGTGGCTTTTGTACGGAGAATGGCAGCAACAGGGAGTGGTCACAGCAGCCGCGCGGGCGGAATCAGCCCCGCGGGGGCCAAAACAGCCGCACCGGCTGGGACTGCGACGCTGGCGACCCCTCTGCCTGGGTATCTCCTGGTCTGTGGGCAATAAGAGTTCGTCTGGAAATGCGGCGTCCACTCACCCTCTGCACTTTCACTGGGAGCTGAAGTCCTGAGCTGTTCTTAGGCGGCCATCTTGAAAGTCCACCCTATGCACTGTTATACTAACTCAGATCTTAAGCCTACTTACTTACTATATTAACTCTATGACATAGGTACTATTATTGTTCCCATTTAGGTGCAGTAACTTACAAAAGTCATAGAGTTACCTCAGGGTAGAGATGGAATTTGAACCCAGATAACCTAGCTCTGACACCTGTATTCTTAATCATTACACCATACTGCCATTTAAGCTCAACCTCCATGCAAAGACGTAACTTCTCTGAAAATTGCTGAGCCAGGGATAACACAGCCAGCAGAGAACACTCAAAATCAAGGTCAAATGTTGGGTTGAAGAGAAATAGAAAACTTCAAGAACCATGCAGGCATTCTGACTATAGGCGGGTGGGCATTGTTCAGGAAGAGGGCCCGGAAGCAACACCCTGGCAGACATCAACCCCTAAGCCCAGAGGCTAACAGTGATGCTTCACATAAACGCATAAGCAGAGATAAACAAAGTTTCATAATAAATGCCTTTAAGCAAGCAGCAACACCTAAGATGACTCACACTGCATCAGAACAGAACAGAGGTGATTCACATGACCACTCTAGTTAAGAAGAGGCAATTTCTGAGCAGGTAAGTGAAGACTGACGTCTGAATAGGCTGAACATACTTGTGTTGACTGTATATCGAGTATACATTAAAAACTATGAATAGCAAAGCATAGGTTTAATCATTCCCAACCTAAGTTAATGTCTTAAGGAGTGAATGTGCGTGTATACATGCACATTAGACTAACAGAGCATCTGGTATGCTTAGTGAATGGGATGCATTCATTTATTCAGTTAATACATAGTTACTTGGTGCCTACTGACATGGTTTGACTGTGTAACCACCCAAATCTCATCTTGAATTGTAGTTTCCATAATCTCCATGTGTTGTGGGAGGGACCCGGTGGGGGGTAATTGAATTATGGGGGCAGTTACCCCCACGCTGCTGTTCTTGTGGTAGTGAGTTCTCACAAGAGCTGATGGCTTTATAAGGGTCTTCCCTCTTCGCTCAGCACTCTTTCATTCTCTCTCCTGCTACCTTCCACCATGATTGTAAGTTTCCTGAGACGTCCCCAGCCATGCTGAACTGTGAGTCAATTAAACCTCTTTTCTTTATAAATTACCCACTCTCAGGTAGTTCTTTATAGCAGTGTGACAATGGACTAATACAGTAAATTGGTACCCCAGAGAGTGAAATGCTTCTGTAAAGATACCCAAAAATGTGGAAGCAACTTTGGAACTGGGTGACAGGCAGAGGTTGGAACAGTTTGGAGGGCTCTGAAGAAGACAGGAAAATGTGGGAAAGTTTGGAACTTCCTGGAGGCTTGGAGGACTCAGAAGACAGGAAGGTGTGGGAAAGTTTGAAACTTCCTAGAGACTTGTTGAATGGTTTTTACCAAAATGCTGATAGTGATATGGACAATGAAGTCCAGGTTGAGGTGGTCTCATATGGAGATTAAAAACTTGTTGGGAACTGGAGTAAAGGTCACTCTTGCCACGCAAACAAACTAGCAGGATTTGCCCCTGCCCTAGGGATTTGTGGAACTTTGAACTGAGAGAGATGACTTAGGGTATCTGGCAGAAGAAATTTCTACACAGCAAAGTATTCAAGAGGAAGCAGAGCATAAAAATTTGATAACTTTGCAGCCTGACAATGTGATAGAAAAGAAAAATTCATTTGCTGGAGAGAAGTTCAAGCCCACTGCAGAAATTTGCATAAGCAACAAGGAGCTGAATGTTTATCACCAACACAAAAGGGAAAATGTCTCTAGGGCAAGTCAGAGATCTTGGGGATAGCCCCTCCCATCACATACCAGGAGGCCTGGGAGGGAAGAATGGTTTCATGGGCTGGGTCCAGGGCCCCCCTCCTTTGTGCAGTCTCAGGACTTGGTTCCCTGTGTCCCAGTCACTTTATCTGTGGCTTAAAGAGGCCAAGGTATAGCTGAGGCTGTTGCTTCAGAGGGTGCAAGCCCCAAGCCTTGGCAGCTTTCACATAGTGTTGGCCCTGCAGATGCACAAAAGTCAGTATTCAGGTTTGGGAACCTCCACCTAGAATTCAGAGGATGTATGGAAACACTTGGGTGTCCAGGCAGGAGTTTGCTGCAGGAGTGGGGCACTCATAGAGAACCTCTGCTAGGGCAGTGGAGAAGGGAAATATGAGGTTGGAGCCCCCACACAGATTCCCTACTGGGGCACTGCCTAGTGGAACTGTGAGAAGAGGGCCCAGCGTCCTCCAGACCCCAGAATGGTAGATCCATTGCCAGCTCACACTGTGAGCCTGGAAAAGGCGCAGACGCTCAATGCCAGCCTATGAAAGCAGCTGGGAGGGGGGCTGTACTCTGCAAAGCTATAGGGGTAGAGCTATCCAAGGCCATGGGAGTCCACCTCTTGCATCAGTGTTACCTGGATATGAGACATGGAGTCAAAGGAGATTATTTCAGAGCTTTAAAATTTAATTACTGCCTCACTGGATTTTGGACTTGCATGTTTTGGCCAATTTCTCCCATTTGGAATGTGTGTATTTACCCAATGCCTATACCTCCATTGGGTCTAGGAAGTAACTAACTTGCTTTTAATTTGATAAGCTTCTAAGAGAAAGGGATTTGCCTAGTTTCAGATGAGACTTTGGACTTGGGTTAATGCTGGAATGAGTTAAGACTTTGGGAAACTGTTGGAATGGCATGATTGTGTTTTGAAATGTGAGATTTGGGAGGGGCCAGGCATGGGATGATATGGTTTGGCTGTATACTCACCCAAATTTCATCTGGAATTGTAGTTCCCATAATCCCCACATCATGGGAGGGACACAAAGGGAGGTAATTGAATCCTGGTGGTAGTTAACACCATGCTGGTGTTCTCATGGTAGTGAGTGAGTTCTCACAAGAGCTGATGGGTTTTATATAAGGGGATTCCCCCTTCACTTGGCACTCATTCATTCTCTCTTCCGTCACCTGGTGAAGAGGCGCCTTTCACCATGACTGTAAGTTTCCTGAGGCCTCCCCAGTCACGTGGAACTGTAAGTCAATTAAACCTCTTTCCTTTATAAATTACCCAGTCTCAGGCAGTTCTTCAAGCAGTATGAGAACGGACTAATACATCTACTATGTGGCATAAGGACTGTGGACTTGTATTGCTTTCTTTTATCCTCACAATAATCTCATTTTAGGGAGGAAGGTGGCTGAGGATGAAAGGTTAATCTGGCAAGTACCCCCAGATGTAGTTCAGATTTTAAAAGTTCTCCATTGTTAGGAAGGTAATATGGTGAATATATTTACTAATACATCTACTATGTGAAGACATGCACATGCAACCCTGTTCTCCATCCCCAAAGGCCATCCATGAGTCCATTGTCAGACTTTTCTGGTTCCCATCCATGTATTCCTCTGCGCTGGATGCAATGCTTCCCTGTCTCCACAGTTGGGCTCACCCACTGAACTGCAATTTCTGTGTCTCCACCTAGACTGATAACATTTACCACCTCTGAGTACCAAACAGCTGGGATAGGGACTAAGTCTCCAAATGCAGCTCCACATAAGCAGGAGCCTGTTTCCTACTATACCCATACATCTCAGCTATGCCTGGCACCTAATCAGTGCTCAGTAAACTACCTGGTAAATGACTGCTGCAGTGATCTTGACACAAGCGTCAGGTCTCTGCTCCTGGGAAGCTTACCAGCTAGGGGGCACTGCCTGAGAAGAGGTTGACAGTGGTCATGTCTGCCCACCTTTGGTGTTCAGAAGACAGGCTCTGGAGCCAGACTGCCAGTACCTGGAAGAGCTATGATGCACACTCAGGCACTCTGATCCCAAGGGCTTGGCATAAGGACTGTGGACTTGTATTGCTTTCTTTTATCCTCACAATAATCTCATTCTATGGGAGGAAGGTGGCTGAGGCTGAAAGGTTAATCTGGCAAGTACCCCTAGATGTAGTTCAGATTTTAAAAGTTCTCCATTGTTAGGAAGGTAATATGGTGAATATGTCATATTTTTTATAACACTTCCAGTGGGCTCTGAACTGTACTCCATATCAAATGCATTCAGATGCTTGCAGCAAATCAAATGAACAAACACACTTAGTATAATTACAGCCTAGCTTTCCTGCAGATTAGGCTTTGCTACCAAAAGAATTGCAAAATATTTTCTAGTTTCCAGAGTGTATTGGATTTGGTATTTGCAGGTGAAGTACTGTGGACTCGAAAATATAAAGCCCTTAGAAGAGAATGTGGCACAAAGTAGGTGCTGTGAGCCTAGCATGCAGCAGCTACTTAGTATGTGTTAGTTTCCTTCTCTCCAGCCAGGTTCTGAGAGCACCTGAGCCTCTCATAGCTCTCCCCTTCTATTTCCCCAAGAGATGAGATAATCCCCACTCCTCTCTTGTCCCAGAAGGCGGTAGCATTTGCAAATTCCTGCTTACCAGTCTGTATGGGCATCGTCAATCACCAACAGGATCCTGGGTCTTTGAACAACAGGCGTGGAGAGACCTGGAGGCTCCATTAGCCCTGAGGAAGCCTGAGGGGCCTGCTTCATGGCACTGGAGAGGGAGCTAAAAATGCTGGATCCTGGAGAGGAGAAGGAGGCAGCCAGGGGCTGGGGATGCCTCCTCTCCATGGCTGGGGAAGCAGGTGAGCTGGTCGAGCTATCTGGGCGTTGCAGGTCCGTCATGTAGCCATTAGGCAGGTTGGCCACGAAGCTGCTGTCAGAGAGACGTCGACGGAGGAAATTCATGGCTGTGGATGGATGGAGACAACTGGCTCCTACCCAGACGTGTGTAGGTGAGGCCCAGAAGACAGGCTGCCAGGTACAGGGAGTGGTAGGACTTTAGCCAGAAGAGCCAGGGGGATTTTGCACAACCAGCAGTCAGCTTTAGCTGCCTTTATTTACCTGCTGGAAATAAGCCAATAAATACATAAGTGGAAATGACCTCCACCCTCCTTAACAGCAAACAGATACAGCACTTTCCTGCCCTACTGCAGGTGGCAACATAAATTAGGACATCCTTCTGGAAAGGAATTTGGCAACATGTATTCAGAGGATAGCTTTTTAACCTACAATTTCCATTTTCTGGAATTCTATCCCAAAGACAGACTCTAAGTTACAGAAAAAGCTTCATGCACAAATATGTTTATCACATATTATTTACACTGGCAAAATACTGGGAAGTATCTCAACATTCAACCACAGTTTAATAAATAAGTCAACTACAGCAGTTACTCAATGAACCTTTTGTGGCTATTTTTAAAGGTGTCCTGAAGAAGGGATTTTAGTAACAGAAACGATTTTGTGTTCTAATGATAAATTTAAAAGATAATGATTCAAAATTATAGGAACCAAGTGACTACAAAGATGTACAAGCTGAAAGAAAAAAACTTTGGAAATAAAAGAAAGCAAAATGTTAACAGTGATTATATTTTGGTAACAGAACTACATGCCATTTTTTCTTTTCCTTTCCACTTAGATTTTTCAAATTTTCTAGAATGCATATTACTATGGACTGGCATGCCACCCACCTCACCAAATTTATATGTTGAAGATAATGTTGATGCTTTGGAAATGAGCCCTTTGGGAGGTAATTATGGTTAGTGAGGTCATTAGGGTGTGGCCCCCATGATGGAAGTACAGCCCTCATAAGAAACGATGCCACAGAGCTTGCTTTCCCTGCACCATGTGAAAGCAAAGGTAAAAGGCTGCCATCTACAAGCCAGGAGAGGGCCCTCATGAGAGCCAGGAAAACAGACACCCTGACCTTGGACTTCCCAGCCTCCAGAAATGTGAGAAATAAGCATCTGTTGTTTAACTCACCCAGCCTATAGTATTTTGTTACAGGAGCACAAGCAGACAATATATACATCTATTGCTTTTCTAAACAGAGTAACAAGTTTAAAAAGCCAAACAGTTCATTTGAGATCAAAATATCTCATTGAGAACAATGACTAAACCATGGAATTGGACTTTATATTTTTGTTATGATTATTATATACAATGTATTTTTTTTTTTTTTTTAGACAAGAGTCTCACTTTGTCACCCAGGATGGAATGCAGTGGCATGATCTTGGCTCACTGCAACCTCCACCTTCCAGATTCCGTGACTCTCCTGCCACAGCCTCCCAAGTAGCTGGGATTACAGGCACCCACCACAACAACCAGCTAATTATTGAATTTTTAGTAGAGATGAGGTTTCACCATGTTGGCCAGGCTGGTCTCAAACTCCTGGCCTCAAATGATCCCCCTGCTTCAGCCTTCCAAAGTGCTGGGATCACAGGTGTAAGCTATTGCGCCCAGCCAGTATTTTTACTGTAGTAAAATTTACTTAAGATTGAAATGCGCAATTCTTAGGTATACACTTCTTTGAGTTTTGCTAAATGTATATATTGGTATAATGTTTATTATATTCCTAGAATGCATATTACCTCAGAAAGTTCCTTTGTGCCCCTTCTAGTCCATCCACACCCCCAACAGGCAAATACACTTCTGATGCATGTCACATTTATTAATTTTACCTGTTCTTGAACTTCATATAAATGTAATCAAACATATTATGCTTTTGTTAATAACTTCTTCCCTCAATGGTTCTGAGATGCAATATGTTGTATATATCAGCAGTCATTCTATTTTTAAAATCACTGAATATCATTTTACTTCCAGTAAAATGGGTAAACCACAAATTGCCACTCCAGTCTCCTGTTGATGAAAATCTGAGGTCAAGCATGGTGGCTCACACCTGTAACCCTAGCACTTTGGGAAGCTGAGGTGGATGTATCACTTAATGATAGGATTCTGAGACCAGCTGGGCCAACATGGCGAAAACCCCTCTGTACTAAAGATAAAAATTAAAAAAAAAAAAAAAAAAAGCTGGGTGTGGTGGTATGTGCCTGTATAACCAGATATTTGAGAGGCTGTGGCACAAGAATCACTTGAGCCCAGGAGATAAAGGTTGTAGTGACCCAAGATCATGCCACTGCAGCTCCAGCCTGGGTGACAGACTAAGACATTATCCAAAAAAAGAGGAGGAAGAGTAAAAGAAAAGAAAGAGAGAGAGAAAGAGAGAGAGAAAGATAGAAACACAGACAGAAGAAAGAAAGAAAGAGAGAGACATAAGAAGAACAAGAAATGTGAAATGTTTCCAGTTTTCAGGCAGGATCATGAGGTCAAGAGATCGAGACCATCCTGGCCAACATGGTGAAACCCCATCTCTACTAAAAATACAAAAAAATTAGCTGGGCGTGGTGGCACACACCTATAGTCCCAGCTACTGGGGAGGCTGAGGCAGGAGAATTGCTTGAACCCAGGAAGTTGCAATGAGCCGAGGTCGCGCCATTGCACTCCAGCCTGGCACCTGGTGACGAGTGAGAATCTGTCTCAAAAAAATAAAAATGAAAAAGAAATTTTTATTTAAATCTCTTCGTGGAGATAGACAGATAGATGGATGGATGGGTGGATGGATGGATGGATCAATAGATAGATTCATTGATAGATTGAGAAATAGATCTTTTCTTTGGTAAAATATCTAGGAGTTAATTTGTTGGGTCATGGGGTAAGTGTAGGTCTAACTTGATAAGAAACTGCCAAAAAGTTTCCCATAGTGGTTGCTTGATTTTGCACATTCCAGAGTTCACACTGCTCTACATCCTTTCTGACATTTGGTTGTTATCAGTCTTTTTCATCTTACCCATTCTAGTACATGTAACATAGCACCATATTGTGTTTTAAATTTATTTTGTCTGATACTTAATGAGACTGAACAAGTTTCATGGGTTTACTGGCCAGTAACATATCATCTTTTGTGGAGTACCTATTCAAATCTTTGGCCCATTTCTAAAAGGTGGGTTATCTTTTTATTTTTGATTTGTACGAGTTCTTTACATATTCTAGATACAAGTCCTTTATCAGATACATATATTGTAAACATTTTCTACCATTCTGTGGCTTGCTGCTTCATTTTCTTCGTGAGCAGAGCATAGCAGAATAAAACAACTCTTAAAAAAGTGAATTGTTTGAGATAAAAGCAACCCAATAATAAAAAATATATATACCGTAGGATGAGACCACACTTCCATATTTTGAGTATTGGGAATACTTTACATATCATTTCATATATATGTATCTAGACACACACACACACACACACACACACACACATACGTAAATATAAACATATACTTCTATATACATATATAAAATCTATTATACATATCTGCATATGTATAATAAATTATACATGTTTTGTTAAACAGAAACTTTTATTTTATGAAACCTAATTTATCAAATTTTTCATTTATGGTTAGTGTTTCTGTGTCTGTTCTTAAAAATCTCTGCAACCCCAAGATGGCAATCATACTGTTCTATAGTGTCTTATAGAAGCATTATAGTTCTAGCTTTTCTATTTAGGTCAGGGATTCATCTAAGCTTGATTTTTGAGTGGTATGAAGTTCATTTTCACCTCTGCTCATTTATCCAAGTTACAGCACCATTTATGAAAGTATTTTTTCTCCCACTGAATTGCTTTGCTGGCCTTGTTGGCACCTATTGGCTGTACACTCACGGGTCTACTTCTGGACTGTTCAGTATGCTCCATTAATCTATCTATTCTTATATTTCTTGATTGCTGTGGCTTTCCAGGAAAGTTTTAAATTCAAGTAAAGTGAGTCCTCCAACTTAAATTTTCTGCCTCAAGATTGTCTTAGGTATCCTAGATCTTATGATCCTATTTTCATATACATTTTAAAATCAACTTTTATGAAAAAGTCTGTGCGGATATTGTTCAAGATTGCATAGACTGAGTAGAATTATTGCTGAAAAATATTGGGTTTTCTACTTTATGAACACAGTAGACCCCTCCATTCAGAAATTTTTTTGTGATTTCTAATATGGAGATCTTGCATATATTTTGCTAAATCTATTCCAATTTTTTTGGCATGTTTTTAACACTTCTAAATTTCACTTTCCATTTATTTGCTGCTAGTAAAATATTATGTTCAATATATTGACATGCTAAATTCAAGTATTGTTTCTACTAGTTGTTTATAGATTCCTTAATGCTTTCCATTTAAATAATCATGCCATCTAGAAATAGACTTTTACTTCTTTATAATCTGAATGCCTCTTACTAATTTCCTTTATCTGATTGTCCCAGCTAGGACCTCCAATACTGAATAGAAATCATGAAAACATGCACCTTACCTTGTTCCTAATCTTAGGGGGGAAATGTTCAGTATCTCACCATTAATGTGGTGTTAACTGTAGATTTTTGGTAAATTCACTTTATTAGATTCAGGCAGTTCCTTTCTATTATTATTTGGATGTGAGTTCGTATCATGAATGGAAGTTGAATTTGCCAAGTGATTTGCTAAATCTATTGAGAGGATTATATGTTTTTGAAACCATTTATTTGCTTAACAATGTAGCAAATTACATAAACTATACTTGATCATAGTGTGTTACCCTTTTTATATATTGGTAGATTCAATCTGATAATATTTTGCTAAGGATTTTTGTGTCTATGTCCATGACAAAAACATTGGTCTGTAGTTTTACTTTTTGACAATGTCTTTGCCAGGTTTTGGTATCAAGGTAATGTTAACCTCACAAAATAGGTTGGGAAGTATTCCCTCCTTTTCTATTTTATGAAAGAGTCTGTGTAACATTGTTTTTTTTTCCCCTTAAATTATTGGCAGAATTCAACAGTGAAACCATCTGGGATTGGTTTTTCTTTGTGGGAAAGTCTTCAATAATGAATTCAATCTCCTTTATAAAGCTATTCACGTTTTGTGTTTCTTTTTATCTTAATTTTGACAATATGTGATTTCAAGTATGTTGTCCATTTCATCTTGTAGGATCTTATGATTCCTCTTGATACGGGTAATTTGCTTTTTCTCTTTTTGACTGAT